TTTTTTTCATTGCTTGAATGAGAGAAAGAAATATGCATTCGAACTCTCTGAAATAGTCACTCCGTTTATTACACATAAAATGTAAGGTAGCCAAAGTCAAATATATTCCGATTTTTAATCGTTTTCTTGACATTGGCGAAGACCCATGTTGACTACTTCTACCTATCGAAGGCTACAGAAATCTCAAGTTGGTGATTGTGGAAGTAACTGTCGAGCCTATTGTAAGATCTTGTTCCGATGTGCGTCGATGCTCTTTTCTTGCCAAAAATAATCGCTATCTATCAACCACATATGATCTTACGAATTCTCTTACTAACAGCATTTTTTAAAATACATTCAAAATGCATGACCAGATTGCGAAGTATTCATCTCAATTTACGAAATCAGTATAAAGTGAGTGAGATATATATACGACGAGATTTTGCATGCTGTATTGAATCGATATATATTTATTCACTAAAGATGTCGTTCCTAAATAAAATCGAAGAATATTCACATAGCCTTCTCGGGAGACGCATGTGTGGGTGTTATTGTTATCCACCACAACCCGCACCTCACATCCACACTCTAGTAACAAGAAATATACCGTCTTAACTTATTCTCGATTGAAGAGGGTTTATTGGAATCCAAGTTATCAGTCAAACTCACGTTGCAAAGACTTTTCCTATATCATAGCCCATTTCAGCCTAGAATTTTCTGGTTTTCGGAAGTTTAAATAGACTTCTATTCAACAATATACCCACTTTTCCATAAATTGAGAACCGATATGTTAAATCAATCAGAGATAAGTTTCTTATTTAAATAGAATACATCGAGTTGTACCATAGAAACACGTCGTTAAGAAAACTCGAAGTTACTTTGCGAACTAGAATAAGACTGGCATCCATTTACTATGCTGAACAGCTTACATCACGTCTGCTAAAGACTGGAAATATAGAATGGTTTTCCATCATTGTAAGGATACTCCATGCTGTAAATGTGTTATGCATATTTGAAGACGGTTGATTCTTCACTACCCGAAAGAAGTTTCTGTCTTTAGACTTCTCGACTTTAGCAGCTTCGAATTTCTTTGGAAGTGCACTTTTTGTCAAAGATAGAGCACAGTGATCAACGTTCAGCCATATTCTTGTCTGCAAAGTAACTTCGAGTTTTCTTAACGACATGTTTCTATGGTACAATTTCATGTACTCTATCCAAATAGGGAATTTATTTCGAGTTGATTTAACATAGCTATGCACTCACAGCTTATTTTCCATTAACCTTCATCACTCTGATCATATCTCTGAACATTTTCGATTCATTCATGCAATGAGACGATGTTGCATCCTATTTCAACATCGTAGTTTGACTGATCAAGACTACCTATTCTCAATTCATCGGAAAATGTATAGTTTGCCGAATAGAAGTTCATTTAAACGTTGGAAAACCAGAAGATTCTAACGAACTTGTTTTAATCGAGGATAAATTAAGACACATACATACGGCTGAGTCAAGCTCACTTGATTCGCTCATGTTTTGGCTCGAAGAAAAAGATAATAAATATAAAGATTTGTTTTAGAAATTTATCAAATCTTAATCTCTAGTCGCAACACAATGAATAAGCTCATTGGTGTCTAACTCGATTTTAGAAGTGGAACCTTTGTTTTCATGGCTCGTCTCAAGAAGAAATATTAGGATATTGGACAAAATTGAAAGGGAGAGAAGATCATCAAAACTCAGATGATTAGCCAACATTCATACATCAGTAGACTCATCAGCACAAGCACTAGAAAGTGATATTATTTGCATATTGTTTTGTGGAACAAGCTGAAATGGTTCCAAAGAAGCACTATTACTCCTCCACTCTTTTCGAACTTTCTAACTCGAGCTATATCACATAAGAAGTTAGGCAAGAATTGAAAACTAACCTGGCATAATACTTTTCAAATCATAATGCCTCACTCACCCATTAATATAATACAAATGAACCAAAATAATATCAGTCAGGCACAAAAGAGAGAAGGCAAATAAGTTAAAATTATGAATACGAGCTTCCTGTTTCGAGTATTTTCATATCGGTTTCTATTCGAGGTATATGCATTGGATGTTTTTTTTTGTAGAGAACAGCTTTAACAGTGGAAGAGGGCATGAAAGTACGAGTCAAAACTGTAATGGAATATTCTATAATCTGCATACAAAGTACGGAGTACGTTCAAGTAATTTGGCCTAATATTAGAATTCTGGCCTAGCTGGAAGTAAAAGGTTCGAATAATGTCATTCGGCTAGAACGTGATATGCCTTACGAATAGTATAATTTCTAAGTCGCATTGTTCAGAACTTTTTCGCATGCATTCATTATTGCTCATCAAATTCGATACAAAACAAAGCAATATTACCATAAAAATGCATGCCATCTTTCTGTCCTGTATTGGCAAAAACTGAAGAGTAACACGTATTATTTGTTTTAGATATAAGTATAGTCTATTGTGATCGATAAAAACGACGACAAATTGTGTGGACACCAGATATGGCCACATCTAATCGAATAAATCCTCGTTTATTGGCCAACATTCAAGATGAATCAGGCCAAATGCTGAAACCGATTTCTCAATACGCTAAGGAACCATTGGTTTCTCTTGAAGAAGCATGTCGACCATTGAAGGATATTATCGATGAGGAACTTGAGCAAAATATTCAGATTGCAAAAATAAATTCAGGATCACCTCCAGATGGTCTAACACAGGATGAATCGGCAGCAATCCATCTGTACACTATGGAATGGAATGTCACTGAGAAAAGTCTTTATGCAATACTCAATCGAAGATTACGGGAAGCTGATCGTCAGAAATTAGTTCCATGGCATAAATATATGAAGTTATTGCTCACTGCGTTCTTCAAACTACCGTGAGTATCTGTTCGCATGTCATACTTCGAGTAATGTTGTATCGATTCAGGTTAACTGAACGTCAAATAGTATGGCGAGGAGTACCCAAAGATCTCAGTGATTTATATCCGCAAGGCAAAGAACAAGTATGGTGGGGATTCAGCTCTTGTACGATGTCATTGAATGTTCTCGAATCACCGTTGTACGTGGGCAAGTCAGGAACCAGAACACTCTTTTCGATTGAAACATCGAATGGAAAACACATTCGTTCGCATTCATACTTTCAGCATGAGGATGAAATTCTCCTGCCACCTGGAACCTACTTGAAAGTGATGAGCAAAATGAGTCCTGCTGAAGGGCTCCATATCATCCATCTTCAAGAGATTGCACCTCCCTTTGACCTACTAACTCCACCATTTGATATCACCAAAACATCGACGAATAAGTCATCACTCAAACCTACAGCTCAATCAAATATATCACCATCTACAACTCAATCAAAATCCTCGCTGAAGGCAACGTTAATACCACTTTCGATGCTAGGTCAGTTCGTTAGAGTCACTTCCTCATTTGAATTGCATTATAAATGCAAATTAGTTGCTCTCGGGAGAAAGAACTCTAAATTCATCAATGAATCCCATTTATATTTCGAACTTTCTTCATAGACAGGGACTATAAACATCCAAATTACATGAAAATATCCATGTGTTTTATATAAAAGAAAACAAAAACATAGTTAGTGCCACATTGAAATGAATTTAGAACTTTGTTTAAAATGTAATAGCTTGCCGATTTTTCCCTTTACAGAAATCGAAGAAGTCTCCTCACTTTATGCTCTTAGTCACCGTTGGTTGACAAAGTAAAGATATGCACGCTATTACCATGCTTCACTATGTCGTTAGTAATAAAAATCATTGTCACACTAGTTGTTCTGTCTGAAATTCTTTCGAATTAATAAACTAGAAAGTTGATTTTTTCTCTAAAACTACGCACATTTGTTGAAACTATACAAATATGTGAGGATACCAGGGATATCGTCTGTGCAAGGGGTAAAAACGCTACTGCATATTAATTCAAAATACTTCAACCTAAAGATGGAACTTAACTGGCCGGTTGACTGGCGCATCCCTTCGGTTGAGTTGAAGTTTTTAACTGACCATTTGAGCCTTAACAAATATAGCGCTTCCTTGTTGAATTTTACATGAGATTGAATGTGACAATATCGCTGTAAAGGCTTTATATAGCATTATGTGCAACAGTAGCAGCTTCTTTTGTAGACGGATCTAATGTCTTAGGAACAGTTGAGACTCATTTTCTCCATTGAAAATATTTTCTTGCTAAGCAGACTTGTATTGTCAAATAGAAAGTTTTAATAAGGGGAATCCAGAGCGACTTCTTCTCATTGCTTTTGCATTTTCTTTAACTCTTGTGTTGAATGAAATATATACACAAATATTTACCGTTTGGTTAATCTTTATTATGATCTTATTTTAATATGTCACTTATCAATGACCACAGAGGTACAGAATATACACGCAGATTGCATCGGCGATAATGTGAAAAATGACTCTTTTGAGGAAGGTTTGGAAAATTGAGGGGGAAGCGAAATGTTGACGAGTGGAAAATTCAGTAAAATATTGAATAGGAGCTTTTCTGTCATAAGTAGAGGAAATAAGAGTTCTACAATGAAAAAGTTTAAATTTTCCGAAAAGTAAGTCCACATAGTTCTCCTCAATAAGTGAGCTAAATACTCATGAATCCTATGTTATATGTAACAAAAAGATTTTTTAAGGATCTTGATTTCAGTTTTTTCCACTTTGTCCTAAATTCGTATTCTACACAAACAGTAACTCTATGGTTGTGATTCATTTTTGAGCATGGATGAAAGTGCGGATTAATCAGGTATTGCATGACCTTTGTTAACCGTAAACTTCTATAATAAGAATATCTTTCGAGAGGTTTCTTGAAACTCTAAAGTTATTCACAGACAGAAGCTGAAGCTATCAAATGAGTTTCAAAATTATTCGAATAATTTGATAGCAATTTCTAAGAATATTAAAAGTCATATTTGAACCAATTGATGCAGATGTCTTCCGCCAAAGACGCAACCTTAAAAATTATCGAAATTCAAATTATCACGATGAATGTAAGAAAGATCTCAGATGTATAAAATACTTGAAAATTCATTAAATATCGAAATGTCCTTGAAAATAATTGTCGGAAATAAAAATTTTTCGTTTTTCTCTTAGGTCATGCTGATTTCATATTTGAAGATACATTGTGACAAAATACTATATTTTTATTCCCACTTTTGTACGGTGAGAAACTCTGGCAGATTCTGCATCCCTCAGTGATCGATCCAGATATTTGTGATGCTAAACAGATTTCTGATATTTTGGGATTTGAAGATTTACTCTTGACAAGAATGACAAATCATCGTATTGGATTTGGTCTAAGGATATCTTGCTCAGTGATCGGGTTTGTGTTTTTATCTTCGTTCACTAGTATTTCATCTACAGATTATTAATTGCTAAGATTCCGCAAAATTACAATATCTGATTTCATCGGCATAGCACATTTAGCTTTTTCGTCAGTATACAGAGTAAAATTTTGCTGAAGATTGACCTTAATTATTAGAATGTCTTCTATTTGGTAACGGCGGAAACGATAATTTCCTGGGTTTAGTCCTCTGGACATGGTTAGGAAAATTCACTAGTCGTGGCTATTGGCTTTTGCCTTTGCGTTAACAAGATCTGATAAATTTTATTTCTTAATAATTCACTTGGACGTTTTTTTAAAACTTCATACGACCTACATTAGTTTTCCTAGCTGGTTCTCATCAGTTTTTCGCCGGTTCACGTCGAACTCAAGTCGGCCGGTTGGGTTCGGCTAAAAGTTTTAATCAGTCGATCCTGCTCGATTCAAGCATTTTCGATCGATTCCAGCTCTGCTTCAAATTACTGAATGGACGTTGATAGGATAAATTATGTTAGTTAGGGACGAGTTCTGAGCGACTTGGAACCTACTTTTCATCTAAAACAATCGACTTTCGGCATTGACATAGAATACAATAGATTGAAGTATTTTGAGTTTTTTCGAAATAAATTAAAGTTGAATGAGACCAGGATGGTTTCAGATGAAAAGTAGGATTCAAGCTGAACAGATCTAGCTAAAAATTAGTCGAGTTTATCCTATGAACGTTGATGAAGTAGCTTGAAGAAGCTGAAATATCACTTTTCCCTCTGGCATCTGTGTCACCATACCTATGAAATCATTATTACTTGCATGACTGCATTTGCATAATATCAATCATGCCTTCATGTATTGTGTCAAAAAATTAGGTTTTCAGCATTTTTCAGCGTATTTGATTACCATTAGCGACAATCCAACTTGATTCAATATTTGAAGTGCTCGATGTAATTGAGTTTCATGTGCGTATAGCGCCCATAATGACATATGTTATTCCTACAAGAAAATTAGGAGAATGTTGTCTATTTCGAAGCATGACCATTTTATTGAAATGATTGCTTTTTATCGAACATCCAGGATCAAACTTTCATTCTGTTTTGCTATAGCATCATCATTTCGCAGAACTGTCATTCCTCCTGATGCAAAATGGATGTCGAAAGGTATCATTGTAGCTGGAGGCAATGAACAAGGTAGTGGATTGAATCAACTCTGTAAACCCCTTGACTTATATGTGGATGATGAACTAACGGTATATGTGGCTGACTGGGGGAATAGTCGTATTATGGAATGGAAGTGTGGTGCGACACTTGGTCGAGTAGTGGCCGGCGGAAATGGAGATGATAGCCAGATGAATCAGTTAAACGGGCCAACAGTTGTGATTGTTGATAAAATGAGTAATAGTTTCATCATTTGCGATGCTTGGAACAATCGAGTGATGCAATGGCCTCGCGAATTT